AAATAGACACATAGATCAATGGAACAGAATAGAAGACCCAGAAATAATCCCACAACTATATGGTCAGTTAATCTTTGACAAAGCAGGAAAGACTATGCAATGGGAAAAAGACAGTCTCTTCAACAATGGTGTTGGAAAAACTGGATAGCAACATGCAAAAGAAATAAACTGGATAATTTTTGTACACCATACACAAAAATAAATTAAAAATAAATTAAAGGGCTAAATGTGATACCTGAAACCATAAAAATCCTAACAGAAGACATAGATAGTAACTCCTTTGACATCAGCCATAGCAACTTCTTTCTAGATATGTTCCCTGAGGCAAAAGAAACAAAAGCAAAAATAACTATTGGGACTACACCAAAATAAAAAGCTTTTTCATAGAGAAGGAAACAATCAACAAAACTAAAAGGCAACCTACTGGATGGGAAAAGGTATTTACAAATGACATATCTGATAAAGGGCTAGTATTCAAAATATATGAAGAACTCAAAACTCAACACCCAAAAGCCAAATAATGCAATTTTTAAAAAAAGGCAAAAGACACGAACAGACATTTCTCCAAAGAAGACATACAGATGGCTAACAGACACATGAAAAGATGCTCAACATCACTTACCATCAGGGAAATGCAAATCAAAACCTCAGTGGGATATCACCTCACATCTGCCAGAATGGCTAAAATCAAAAACACAAGAAATAGCAGGTGTCAGCAAGGTTGTAAAGGAAAAGGAACACTCGTGCACTGTTGGTGGGAATGCAAACTAATACAGCCACTGCGGAAAACAGTATGGAGGGTCCTCAAAAAGTTAAAAATAGAACCACTCTATGATCCACCAATTGCACTATTGGGTATTTACCTAAATAATACAAGAATACTAATTCAGAGGGATATGTGCACCTCTATGTTTATTTTTTTTTATTTTTATTTTTTTTAATTTTTTTTTCAACGTTTATTTATTTTTGGGACAGAGAGAGACAGAGCATGAACGGGGGAGGGGCAGAGAGAGAGGGAGACACAGAATCGGAAACAGGCTCCAGGCTCTGGGCCATCAGTCCAGAGCCTGACGCGGGGCTCGAACTCACGGACCGCGAGATCGTGACCTGGTTGAAGTCGGACGCTTAACCGACTGTGCCACCCAGGTGCCCCTGCACCTCTATGTTTATAATGGCATTATTTACAATAGCCAAGGTATGGAAGCAGCCTAAGTATACAAAGTAGTATAAGTATACAAAGAAGATGTGATATATAATACATATGTACATATATATGTGTATATATATGTATATATATATGTATATATGTACATATATATGTGTATATATATATATGTATATATGTGTGTGTATATATATATATATATATATATATGTACATATATATATATTCAGCCATAAAAAAGAGTGAAATCTTGCCAGTTGCAATGACATGGATAGAGCTAGAGAGTATAATGCTAAGCAAAATACATCAGTCAGAGAAAGACAAACACCATATCATTTCATTCATATGTGGAATTTAAGAAACAAAACAAATGATCAAAGGAAAAAAGAGAGAGGCACAAATCAAGAAACAGACCCTTAACCATAGAGAACAAACTATACCATAGGGGAAGTGGGCAGGCGGATGGGTTGAATAGGTGATGGGGATTAAAGAGGGTACTTGTTGTGATGAGCAGCGAGTGATGTATTGAAGTGCTGAATCACTGTATTGTACACCTGAAACTAATATAACTAATATGTTAACTGAAATTACAATAAAAACTTAAAAAGCCAGAAAAGATGTGGTAAACACACACACACACACACACACACACACACACACACACACACACACACACACCATGCTGACTTATCATTTGAGAAGTTTGGGAAAATACTTTACATGAATTTTCATTTAATCCTCATAAAAAGTTAATGGGACAAGAACCGTTACTAGTGTCATTTGTAGATAGAAAAACTAGGGTTTAAGGGAAGATATTATTTGTTCACATACACATAGTTAACTGATTGTCATCATTATAGTTTGAACTTAGGCATCCAATCCCAGAATTTACACCACTGCTATTCCATGATTTTTCACTTTTAGTCAATACATGCGCTCTGTTCACTCTCAGTTCTTTGTGCCTCTTCTGCCCGTTGACTTGGAGAGTTATGCTCCCTTTTTTGCCTGAAAAACTATGATTAATACCCATTTAACTCAGACTGAAGCTTTGATTAATCAACCCAGTCTGGCTCTGTTGCCTTCCTATGAACCATTCTGTTAATATAGCACTTCATCATCTATATCCTTATCTGTTTCCCTACCAGACTATAAACAGTCACATCTCAAGTCCTTCTGTGTCCTAACTCTAGCAGAGTGCATGATATATAGCAGGTATGTGATAAATATTAGCTGAATGAATTAAAGTATAATAAGTCATGTTAGGGACTCCTGGGTGGCTCAGTAGGTTAAACGTCTGACTCTTGATTTCCGCTCAGGTCATGATCTCACAGTTCGTGAGATAAAGCCCTGCGTCTGGTTCTGCACTGACAGCATGGAGTCTGTTTGGGATTCTCTCTCTCCCTTCTCTCTTTCTCTCTCAAAATAAATAAACAAGCAAGCAAACAAACAAACATTAAAAAAAATCACATTAGCCTGGCAGTACCTAGGGTTTAGATGCTGTAAATGAATGAAGCCAGGGTCACTCCAGAAAATTATTTTTAGAATAATTTAGAATTATTCATAGAATCAGGCCATGGCTCTATTGAGCTCGACTGTTTTCATTCTAGGAGTGTCTTAAGAGAGATGGGATTGAAAACCCAACCCATGGCACAAAAACAGACACATAGACCAATGGAATAGAATAGAAACCCCAGAACTA